TCCTTCGGTGCCTGCGCTGCCTGTCTGTCTTGCGTCCCCTCAACCATGCCTGGCTCTCCTGGCGGCGCGGTGACCCGTCCCCCGGGCAGGCGTCCCCTCCGAGCCGGTCGACCTGCGGCGCTGGCGGCATTGCTGGCCACGCTCCTGGCCCTGTTGGCGGCCACGGTGGTCGCCGTGGCAGGCGGCAGCCCATCAAAACACTCGCCCCGCGCCGAGGCCCCGCGCCCGGACCGCGTGGCGGAGCTGGTGTTCGGCTCGCGCACGGCCCTGCCCAACCATGCCAAGGCCCGGCACCTGCTGCAGACGGCCCTGGACCGGGACTTTTATGACGGCCTGCCTGGGCGGGCGTCGGCCGATGGGGCTGCCGACGCGGGTGACGACGGGTCCGCCCAAGCGGGCCTCACCTCGGCCCTGGACTCGGCGGCCTACGGCGGGCTGCTGTCATACATGGACTCGCTTGGGCTCGGCGATGAGATGTCCCGCCGGGACCATGCGTCGGTGCGTCGTCTTGCCCGGCGCCGCCTTTGGCGCGTATGCGCACGCTTGGCCATGCCCGTTCAGCGGGTCCTGCTGTGTCCCGTGCGCCGCCTGGGCAGCCCCCTCTAACTGCCCCCCCCCTCCTCCTCCTTCTCTTTGGCCTTGTGCGTGTTTACCTGTGTTTATCCGCGCGCGCGCGCGCGTGCCCCCGGTGGGTGCCGCCGCCCGTAGGCGATCATCCGCGAGACGCTGATCGCCGGCTCGGTGCCGGCCTTTCCGGTGTTTGACAGCCCGGCCCCGGTGGGCGATCGGGCTCAGGCCGAGCCGTCCGGTGATGCGCACATGCTGGCCATCGGCGCGGCCCTGTCCCTGGCGAACCGGTACACCCGCGGCATCGGGGTCAAGGCCAGCTGCTCCCGGGCGGCGGAGTTCTATCGACGCGTCGCGTCGGACGGTGCGTTGCCCGGCGGCTGTCCCGGCCGGTGTGTGCCCTGCTGCCTGTCCCGGGTCCTTGCTCACTCGCCTGCTCCTTCGCCATGGCCGGGGTGTGGTTGTCGTAGCGGTGCAAAATTACCGGCCCCTGACGGCTCGCCCGCCGCCGCTGGCGTCGCTGCTGCTGGCGTCGCTGGCCACGCCCGGCGGCCTGGCCGCGCACGGGGCCAACTCCGCCAGCGGCTACTACACCACCATGGCCCTGAGCCCGGGAAGTGATCTCTTCAAGTACTATGTGCACCTGGCCGATGGGGGCGAGCGCTCGGCGCAGATGATCATCGCTCGGGCCCTGCGCGGCTCGCCCGCGCACCGGGCCGCCGCCGACGAGTATCTGGAGCGGTGCGTCGCCGCCCGGTGCATGTGCCTGCCGGGTGTCCCCTCTTCCCCTCTTCCCCTCCTGCCCGCCTCCCTTCCTCGCTCTTTCCTTCGCCCGGCCCCCGGTGACTGACCTTCCGGCTGGCCGGGCCATGTCCTGCTGCTGCTGCTGCTGCTGCTGCTGCTGCTGCTGCTGCCGCATGGCGGCCCGCACGTCGTCCGTGACACGCAGTGCCGCCCGCCGGGGCAGCATCCAGGCCATCTGCGAATTGGGCAACGTCCTGCTGGATGACCCGCCGGCGGTGGTGGACCCCGGGGTGGCCGACCCGGCGGCCATCCACCGGGCCAATCTCCTGCGCGCGCGGGACCTCTTCCACAAGGGCGCCCGCATGGCCGGCATGGAGGCCACCCTCGGCACCCCGGTGGACTTGAGCAACCCCCATGCCGGGGCCGGGCCGGGGCCCGGCGAGGCCGAGGCCGAGGACTCCGGCGACCCGGCGGCCGCGGCCGCGTCCCGCCACGCGCGCCATGTCGAGTCGGCCACCTGCCACACCGGGCTCGGCCGGCTGCAGCTGGATGAGCTGCTGCGCACCGAGGCCGCGCACTTCGACACCGACGCCTACTCCCAATCGCTGGGCACCGTGCTGAATCACCTGCTCCGGGGCGCGGGGCTCGGCGATTCGGACGGGGCGTACTGGGCCGCGCGGGTGCTGTCCGGGGAATTCGGCGGCCACTTCGACCTGACCTCGACGCACGACGTGCGCGTGCGCATGCTGGTCATGGCCGTCGAGCGCGGCCACCTGGGCGCGGAGTTTGAATTCGCCAACTTCATCTTCTCCGAGTCTGCCAGCCTCAGGTCCGTGCCGGGGTTGGTTGGGGTTTTTCTTTTTTTTTTTATTCGCCAAGCCTCCTCCCTATGTCTCGTGCCTGGCATGGGTGGCGTTGCCTGTGCTCACACCGCCTCCCTCGCTCCTCCCCTGTGGTGACTCACCTTGCGACTCCGCCTCGCCGTCGCGCACATGCCCGCACGCACGCAGTGACAGTGCCTGCCGCCTGGCCCTGTCGCATTATAAGCACGTGGCCGAGCATCACCCCCGCGTGTTGGCCCTGCGTCATGCTGTGCAGGAGGACGCGGTGGAATTGGCGGCCGGGCGCGGGGTGGCCGGCCTGGGCCGGGCCCTTCGCACGGCATTGGCCCGGCGCCAGCGGCCGGCGGCTGGCCCCCCGGCCGGGCTGCTCCCCGGCGACCCGGCCCCCTCGGCCGAGGCGCTGCTGGAGTCCTTTGTCCTGGAGCGGCTGCTCTACCTGGGCCACTTGGGCCTGGCCGGGGCCCAGCTGGATGCCGGGTGGTTCTTGGAGCAGGGGCTCGCCGGGGCGGGGGCCCGGGCGACAGCCGCCCCCCCGGGCGGCATGGCCCTGGTCGCCGGTCCGGGCCCGGCGTACTATCCCCCGGGCGGGGTGGGCCGGTGGTCGGCGCCGGCGCGCGCGCGCCTGGCCCTGTTGCAGTATGTGCGCGCGGCGGCCCAGGGCAGCGTCCGGGGGCTGGTCCGAGCCGGGGACATGTATGCCTCGGGCAGCCTGGCGCCGTTGCTGCTGCTGGGCGAGCCCCCTGCGGAGGGGGCCTCCCTGGGGGCCTTCGGCCGAGCGGCCCGGGCCTACCTGGCCACCGCCCTGCCGGAGATGGTGGCCGCCGGGGCCCGGCCGGACTTGGCTTCACATCGGCTGTTCCTCTTTTCGCGGGAGGCCGTGACCGGCACCCACGCGGCCGGGCTGCCCTCGGTGCTGCAGGGCAACCGGCCTGCCGGCAGCGGGGATGGGCCGCATGCGGCCGGGGCCCCGGGCTCCGGGGCCGGCCCCGAGCCCCTGAGCCCCCCGATCGAGGGGTCCCACGCGTCGCTGTCCTCTGCCCAGCGCCTGGCCCTGGTGCTGCGGGCGCTCTTTCCCCGGCTGCCGGGCCCGGGGGCGCGGCTGCCCCGCCAGGTGCTGCCCCTGCGGCCGGAGGACCTGGACACGGCCTGGTGGCTGGCGGAGGGGGCCGCCTCGGAGGGGTGGCCGCCGGCCCCGAGCCTCGGCCTGGCGGCCAATGCCACGGCCCTGGCGGCCGATCCGTGGGTCGACCGGGTGGCCGGCGCGGCGGGCCTCGATGACTGGACCGGCGGCGGCGGGGCGGCCGAGGCCTTCGGCGGGCTGGAGCTGCATGGCATCGGGCCGCCGCATGCGCCCGAAACCCGGGACGACGCGGACGCCGCCGTGGCCGAGGCATACTTCGCGCTCGGGTGGCTGCACGCCACCGGGGCCGGGTCGTGCGGGGCCCTGTCGCGGGCGCCGCTCTGGCGCCGTGGCCTCGACCGGGCCCGGCTCCTGTGGGCGCGCCGGGGTGCCCCGGCTGCCGGGGCCGGCCCCGGCCCGGCGGCCGATCCCGCCGCGGCCGGCTGCGTGCCGTACGACTTCTATCGGGCCAAGCACTACTTCGACCTGGCGGCGGCCCGGTCGCCGGATGCGCGTCTGGCCGTGGGCCTGGCCCTCCTCGGGTCCTGGCTGAGCCACTGTGCCGAGGTGCGCCCTCGCCATGCCATGGCGCTGCCCGTGCCCGGGGCCACTCGCGCGCGCGCGCGCGCGTGTTGTCTCCCTCGCTCGCTCGCTCGCTCGCTCCTTCTCGTTCTGACCTCCTCCCCCGCGTCCCGGCCCCTTTGGCGGCAGACCCTGGCCTTCTTCTACTCCTACTATGTGGTCGGCTCGTCCATCGACCTGGAGCTGGCTCTCCTCGGCAGTGTGGGCGCCCTGCTGGTGGCCCTGGCGGTGGCCCGGTCGAGCGCCGCCGCTCGCCAGCGCCAGCAGCTGCAGGTGCCCCCGGGGCTGGGCCAGCAGTGAAGCGCGGGCTGGGCGCCTCGCCCCGCCCCACAGCTGCCAATGGACACGCCACATACCAACCTTTTGCTTGTTGTTCTTGCCGCGCCAGCGGGGG